ACCGAGCCTTCGGTTGCACGTCAAAAGATCCCCAGATGGTCCAAATTAATTCTCCGCTGGGGCGTGCCAGATGCCCGTCGTTGGTTTGGCCAGCTGTGCGCCGTGTTATGTATCAAGCAACCAAGCTGCCGCCCAGAACAACCGGACAGCGCGAGCCATGGTCTCGAGCGGGTCCATGCGCGCGGCGCGTGCATCGGGGACTGACCCGTGTGACGCAGCACGGCTCGCCAGAAGCCACGCGAAACTGCTCAACCTCGGCCAGTGTAGCCTACGCTACAAAATAAACTCCGAAAAACACGCTCCGATTCTATTCAAAAATGAACTCCGAAAACACAGTACGCTACCTATAAAACGAGTCTATGCGCAGCCAAACCCCGGCGTAAAACAACGAGCGCGAGGCGCGCGTGAATCGCGCGCCTCGCCTCGGTTCAAAGCTGAAAAAAGTGGAGTCGACCGCCATCATTAGTTATCTCGACTGCATTTCGCTCAAAGTAGGTTGAGGGACACGAACACGCTCAGAAGTAAACATATTGCTTTGAGGTGAATGATCCAAAGAGTGGTTTAATTAATGATGAGGTGTACTCTGACCAACGGGTTCGAATAAAACAGATTTCATTGCTTCGGCAAGCTGCAGGTCGCCTCTTGAAGAGGTTTTTCAGGGGAGGCACTTACTTTTTTATTTATTTGTTTAACTGACATACCATCAGGGCCATCGGCATTACAGAGGTGAGCGGGAGTTAGAAGAGAACAAAACAAAGCTGTACACCTTGGAGCGCAGTCTGAGCTGTATAGATTATTTACGGCAATTTTAAACATATAGTAAGTGGCAATTGTGGCAACAGATGAGGGAAGGTAGTTCCATTCCCTGGAGTTTTTGGGAATGGATGACTCTTGTTTTGGAATGTCTACTTTATATATATATGATGAAATCTGTGACAAAATATTACATGGGTGATTCAGCGGTCGGTTGTGAAGTATTGCGTTATTATGGTATCTCTTATGAAAGTGACATCATCGCGCTATTTTACGACGTAACGTGAGGTTGGCAACGATAGGCTGGTTGCCATGGATCATAATTATTAAGATAAAACACACAAAACAATTTTGTACTGATCGAACGACGGTTAGCGAGCGAAACCTGGCCCACGACGTTTCATCGAATGACACTTTAGCGAATGGCGACGTTCATTTGACCGAATAGATAAAATGGAGGCCGCCGCCGTCCTGTTTTCGAGCTTGCCAAACCTTTGGCGATGGACGCTCGAACTTGAGTTCATTTAATTTTCCCCAAACTACAGCAAAGCACCCCTTGCTATCGTTCCGAACAGACCGCCTGGCGCGGTCTGTTTGGATGCCCAGTTTGCCGCCCCTACAAATGCCTAAACGTCGACTCGCGTATGTGACCTCTATTCGCTAAAATGTAATTCGCTAAAACGTCTTCGTTCATATATTATGGACTCGTATTAATGTTTGTAAGATATTTCACAAAAATCGTGCACGCAGGTTCGTGTCTGTCTCTCCTTTTTGCCCCCTCGGTGAGTGGTCGTTGGCAAAAATATAAGCGCCTTCTTTTTGTTTTCGTAGAAAAAACCGTGCGCAACGAAAGTAAAAAAAAAAAAAAAAAAAAAAAGACAGGCCAGAAGATTTTGAGGTGGGGTCCCCTCCACAATCACAACGCCGACAACCAGGCGAAGTCTAGGGAGCCTTCATGTGCGCTTTGCTAGGGTGATGCCACCCTTTGTAATACCGCTCGCCGACAAACCAGCAGCCATTTTGGTTCTGGGCATCCGTGGGGCTTATAACTCTCCCGGAAACAAGCACCTTATCTCACAAGTTCGGAGCAGGGAAGTCAAGAAGCCGCTCGCTCTCCACAGCATGCGCACACGATGAAGAAAGCGCGAAACAAAACGAAAATAAAAGAAACGGGAAAACAAAACTAAAAGCCAGAGGGAACTAGCTAAACAAACAAAATGACAAGAGCACGGTGCGTCACCCGGCCCAGCCCAACACTCCCCCCCCCACCCCCCCCCCCCCCCCCCCCCCCCCACACACACACACACACACACACACACACACACACACACACACAGACACACACTGAAACACACATCTGGACTCCTGGAGTCGTCAGCGCCGCTGCGAAAGAACTTCGAGGATGGCTGAAAGCCGGAGGCAGTGGCGGTGGCCGCGGCCGACGCCGCTTTCCGTGACCTCGGTGACTCGGTGAATGGCTGTGACTCGGTGAATGGCTGTGACTCGGTGAACGGCTGTGACTCGGTGAAGGGGCGTGAAGTCGAACCGGTCGAACGACTTCATGAACGGGATCAGTTCACGGACGTGAGGGGAACGACTTGCTGAACTCGATGAGCTCGTGATGGGACGGTGAGCGACTTCGTGAATTCAGAGTTGGAGGTGATGGGATGGGGAATGCTTCATGAACTCTATAGGATTCGTGATGTGACGGTGAAGTACTTCGTGAACTTGACGGATTCGTGAAGTGACGGTGAATGACTTGGTGAGTTCAGAGATTGCGGTGAGGTGATGGGGATGAGTTTGTTGTCCGGTTGAACTCCGTGATGTGAATGGCCGTGACTTTCGGACGTCGGTGTACTTTGTGATGTGAAGGGCCGTGAATATTAGACATCGGTGTACTCTGTGATGTGAAGGGCCGTGACGTTTGGACGTCGGTGTACTTTGTGATGTGAAAGGCAGTGACTTTTAGACGTCGGTGTACTATGTGATGTGAAAGGCTGTGACTTTTGGACTTCGATGTACTTTGTGATGTGAAGGGCTGTGACTTTTGGATGTTCCTGTAATTAGTGATGTGATGGTGAGTGAGTGGGTTCGGAAATGCCGACCTATGGGTACAATGGGCTGACCTGACCAGCCAGTTTGACCATGCCACCGCTACCACGACACGTCAAGGTAATTACAGCCTTTCTCCACGTGCAACAACCTTGCCGGAGCTCAGCGCGGGCAGCGGCCGAGACAGCATGAGCCCTCTCGTGCGCTGCAGTCTGCCCCCCGGAAACTAAAGACATGGCAGCATCACGCATGCGCTGAACGCTGGGCGAGATCTGTCTATTGCTAGCCTGGGGTCTTTGACGTGCATCGCGCTGTGGCGATGCACGACCACGTGCCGGTATGACGCTTGTCCGGATCGAAATGGGCAGGGACGGGGCTCGAACCTGGGATCTCTGGGTTCTGCAGCGCAAGTTTTCGCTCCGCACACTCCGAGCTGCGGCGCTATAATACGCTTGGCAACCGATCGCCACTCAAAAGGCAGCTGTGGTGGAACTTTTCTTTAGAGACGCCACGCACGACAATGCTTGTACCGTCGAGGTATGAGTCATATACCAAGCTCGTCTGTGCAACATCACTGCAAAGCAGCACCACAAAACGTCCCATTGCCACCGCCTTTACCACAATACTGCAAGAAAGGGGAGGGGAAATCGGTGGCCGAGTGAGTTAGTGCACCACAACTTCGAGCACATCGAGCGAAAGCTTGCGCTGCAGAATCCTGGAATCCTAGGTTCCATCGCCACTCCAGCCCGCCTCGATCTGGATGGTGAACCGGTGTTGCCACACTTAAAGGAGCTGTGCAACAGTTTCAGTGCTTTGCTTAAATAATTTGGGAGTTGTTGCCTCGACCTTTCTGAAGTAAAGAACAAAAAACCACTTTTGCCTGCATGTCCTAGTTTTTATTTTAAAAATGGACGAAGATTGAGGTTTCCGGCACCTCTCAACTCCTTTACCATCTTCCGAGTCACGTGCGCTGTGACGTCAATGGGGGTGGTGCGGAGGTCCTGTGAAGTTCTCTCTTTAGAGCCATCAGTGAGCATCGAGAACTCTTCCGCTCGCGACCACGTACTAGCGGGCGCAGCGGGAACAATATGGTGAAAGGAGGAAAGTCTCATCCGCATCCGGACATCCACGTCCGCCGCTGTTCCCCTCCCCCTTTGGCTTCTGGCGGCAGCAAATAGAGCTGACGGTTTTGTGGACCTAGGATAGATGGTACCACTAAAGCTCCATATAATAAAAGTTTTGTCGATGATACCAGGTTTTTGACGCATTTATATTTATGTTGCAACGACAAGATTTATAGAAAAGTTATGCTTTATCGAGCGGGTATTCGCACAACTTGCTATCTTTCTACAAGACCCCCATTGACGTCATGCCACGTGGTTCTCATGGCCGCCGCTCGCAGCTGCAGGTCGGGGAATATAGAAATTTTTGCCTCGCGATTACGCGGCGGAATCACAACATTTCGAAGGAAGGAGCTGTGTTTTCTGTCCTTCGTGACAAGATGAACAATGTCAAAAGTAGAAGATGCAAATTCTTTCAAGGTTAAAATCGCTGCACAGCTCCCTTAAAAGCAGACTGGCTTCACGCTTTTGAGACATGCAACATCTAATTTGCCTTTTTCTTTTTTTTCTGAGAAAAAGGGCGACTATTTTTTTTGGGGATGCAGCGTCTTCCAAAGAGATGGTATCTGTCCGGTCTGGGGGGAGGACAGAAAATTGAAAAGTAAAAAGATATGAGAGCCTCACAGATGCACTCTTTGGAAACACCGGAGCACAAAAGTAAAAGCAGACGATTGTTGGACACTCCCCGAAGGTGAAATAGTTTCGTGGTCCCTTCGGAACACCGTGCCTGGAATACGGCACGTTTACTGCACATTAAAAAAGCGGTCCCCCGACTTCCGGTCGACGTCGCAAAAGTGTTGTCTCGTCGCTGGCCACATGGACGTGACAGACGCCCGTTCTGCCGGACGTCGCTCTCCAACGAACGGACGCCGCCACGACGGCAACATTCACATTCGCGCACACTTTTTACCAAGACTTGGTGCCACCGACCGCTGGGACTGCAACGTCCCGATAGCACGTGTTGACTTCCGCAACGTCGTTTTCCACCGCTTTCGGACTGCTTTCGACGCTAAATGCACCGGTCAAAGGCGTGTCCTGGAACCACGCTTCGTACGGAGGGAAGAGGAGACTCACAGGTGTGGAGGTACCTGACGACGGCCTCGTGTTGCAGGGCACCGGCCTCCGGGGGTTCCCCTCCGCGGGGGCCACTCTGAGAACGCCGTCCGTTCGTCTGGCTGTAGGGGGGTCTCCCACCACTGCAACGCAACATGCGGAAGAGATGTGGCACAAGCAGATACAAAGAGACAAATGGAAAGAAGAGGCTACGCTCGGAGCATGGGCACTCAATCTGGGTTTCACAGGGTGCCCCGACATTTCCCCCGAGCCCCCAAACCCCTTCAACAGTCTCTTCCCTAAGCAAAGCGTTTTTTTAGTCTAAGGGAAGAGGGGCTTAGAGGCTTTTTTTTTCCATTTATTCCACGATCTTCGTCGTATTTGTTGGTAACATATTTTCTTTCGTGCAGATTTCCGATAGCTCTACAAAAACTTACCTTACAAAAATGTAAAAAGGTTGCGACGCAAGAAAACATTGACCACACCGAAACCAGGCTGCGGACAAGAACATAAAACTGCAGAAATTGTGTCGTGTTTCTGCTAAAGCTGTTTGTGGCTGAGAGAACTACACTTGTTTTCACCTCAAGAACCACAGTAAAAAAAGTATGACTTCTCGCGCAGCACTACTAATTTCCTTCTTTATGCTGAGAATTGAGATATATGTAGGTGCAGTTTGGATTAGATATATGTTAGCTTATCAAGACGTACACATTTCAAACGCCAAAAGCATCGCTTCTGCCTCCGACAACCATATCTTGTAAGAACTACTTCGCGCGGCGTGTGAACATTGAGCAAAACGTCCATTTTTCTTGAGGTGAAAACGGGTATGAGGTCTCTGGTTCCATGTGCGTGTTTTTAAAAAGAGTTTATACCTTAATTCGACTAAATCTCCAATCTTGCATAATGTCCAAAAGGGACCCTGCGAGGATTTTCGAATACATTAAAAAATAAATAAAATATGTCCCGCCCCGAACCCGGCTGCTCCGCAAAGTCGCTTCCCCCACAAGCGTTTTGGGGCACATTTGGCATGTGTGATACCTTCTCTGCTGACGAGGAGTCAGCGGCGAAAGGAAAAAGGAAGGTGATGCTCTGGCTCTGCCTTGCATCAGGGGAGGGGGCAGGGATTTTAAGGCAGGTATTGCCTGTGGCCAGGTTCTGCAATGCGCTTAAGACATAGCCGCATGCTGCGTCACTGCGCATCTCTCGGTAATGCACACCCGATCGTGTTCCCCTTAAAGGGCAACTCCACTCAAAAAGTCGACCCTATCGAAATGACTGGTATCGCTTTAGGAGGTCAAAATACGGTCATGTCCAAAATATCACGTCAAACCGACGCCGCGTTACCGATTAAAACCAATATTAAAAATGTTCCCCCGGCTCGGTTAGCGGCCCGAAAGCGGGTGAGCAACGCTGTCACCGGGTGAGCTGGTGAAGCAACACTGGGCGATGACGTAGGTCTGGTCCTACACTCTCGTACGGATGCCGCAAACGCTTCGTTTCCCGTGGCATTCTACGATTCTGCTGACGGCACGAGGTGTTTACCCTATTATCCTGTGTTCTCCTACTTTTATTAGTGTCCACGCAGTTCCTTTAACTCCAGCATTGCTTCCGCGACAGCGAGGAAGAGAGCAAGGCGGTGCTGCTCGCCCACGCGCGCGTCGTGGAGCCGGAGAGACTTGCCGGGCTCGCGTTGGGCAATGTCAAGCACGACTTGTAGTGCCGTGGGTTGCACCAACAAACCGGCGCGCAACCCGGAGCTGTGGTTCCACCAGTTCCCAAGAGACCGGAAGAGGCACGAGGTGTGGGTCGGTGCCGTTCGCCGGATAGACTCCAAAAGATCGTTGACTCCGAGCTCCAACGCGAAGCTCTGCTCCCAGCACTTTACGTCAGACACCTACACACGGAATCTGCGGCTGCTGACTGTTGCAGGTTTCTCCACAAAACATGCGTCTTTGAAGAACGATGCGGTGCCGTCGCTGTTCGCGTACCGCCCGCTGGCTGCTCGAACACGATCGGCCGGACGCAGCAGGTCGCGGCTGATCTAACTAGCGTGCACATAAAGGCACCTTGGCTTTAACAACTTAGACCACTTGTGGATACATCTGTCCATCTATCTCCCATTATTTCGTTTTCTCTCGGTCCGCGAGCAAGAAACAAATACAGTCACGCTGCGCCAGCACCGACCGCGCGTCATATTTCTAGCAGTTGGATTCGCTTTTCGGTCGGCAAATTTATAAATACACACTAAAACTTACTACATTTGGTGCATATTAACAAAGTGAAGCGGTAAAAATAGAAAATGTGCATCTAACTTTCTGTTTTGAAACTCCACGTGCGACTGAGCCGACACTGTCGGCGCGTCGGCTCAGAAGCGCGGGACGACGACGCGCCACTAGTATCAGTGTTGCCAAGCTGCTTCAGTCGGTAGTTTCGGTTTCGCCGTGCCGCCGGAACGATACTTGGATTCGCAATATCTACAAAACTATGCACACTACCGAAAAACAAATTATATGTCGTGATTCAGGGTCGCCGGCTTCGACTAAACAGATCATAAACCAAAAATTGTAAAAATGGAGTGGAGTTGCCCTTTAAGGGGGGACACTGGCTAGAGGTTAAACTTCTCAACTACTGAAGTGATGGGAATGAAATCTGCAGGGGAGATTTAACTTCAGATGTAGGCGCACTCTGCAGACTTTCACCTCTCTAGGACAACTTTACATACCTGCATAAGATCTGTCACTCTTTGTTAAGAAATCTATGATATGCAAATGAAGCTATTCAGCATCATTTTACCTGCTTGAATATAAAATGGGGGATGTGGGACATTAGGCTATGCAGTTTTTACAACTCAAATGTAAATATTTAAGGAAGAGTGATTACCTTAAAATGTGAGATGCATATCTGTCCTATGTCAATTTTTGAAAACAGTTTTTTCTCAATGAGGACTTTAACTTAAAACAAAATAAAGTAGATAGCCCGATTCCCCCCCAGAAAATTTAGGTTCAGAAACATCTTGATTGTGGCATCAGAAACATTTTACCGTCGAACAAAAGATTCCTTTGTATGAAGTTGCAGCAAAAAGTGGAACTAAGAAAAATGTATTCAAACATTGAACTCCCTTACCTTGTTACTGCCTCACAAGCGCAGAAAGTATTTAATATCAATGTAACTATTTGGTGCATAGTTATGAAATTTAGAGCAAGGGTATGCAATTAGTTCCTAAAACCAAAAACCTCAAAATTGAAAAATGAATTTTTTTTTTTTAAATATTAAAACTTGGGTTTATGCCCCCCTTAATCTGACGGAGTGGAACGATGCCCAATGTCGCCGAGCCCCTTTTCTTCAATTTTGCACACTTCCCCCTCGTTTACACTACGGTGTCCTCAATTGCGGTCCCTCGATTTCCACCCAACAATGTCGCACATTTGTCACCCGTGTCCTGCAACAATCCTGCCGCGATGCAGCATTGGCCGCCCGTTCCGTTGCGGATTGCATTTCAGCTCTACGGTGTAAAAAGCTTAACGCGGCCATGCAACAACGTTGGGTAAGAATGTTTCTCACTTTACAGGACCTTACTGGTGCCGGTATAACCCGAGAACACTCAAATGCGACGCCACCGACCAAAGAAGCTTCTTTGTCGTGGCGAGATTCTGAGGATAAAAGCGGACACTTTGTTTTCGGTCTCTCCTTCGCAAAACTCGCGGACAAGGTTGCAGGAATGACGCCGACAATGCAATCCTTGGGATTCCGTCGTTGAGCTCCGCGCAAGCATCTGATCTGAGCTTGTGGCAATCGACGCCTTGACGCGCGTTCAAACAGCAGCTCGTCGTGCCCGATCGCCGCAACGGTGAAAATGGCCAAACCTCGCCGGCGCGTGGAACTCGGCGCCCACCCAGTGCTCTGCCAACCCCCTGGCTATGTTAAACAACGGCAGCATTCGATCGGCTCCAGATAATGCGGCCACTTGTTCTGGGGTCCAGTTAAGAGGGTAAACGCTGTTCGTTTTCTCTTAAATCTTTTACTGCGGCTGTCATCGTGTGGCAAAAAAAAAAAATGCATGTTTTATAGGTTATAAATGTCGAGGAATGATTATAAGCGGTATTTACCAAAAGCAAAAAAATTGCTCTACGATTTGGGATGCCGTAGCCAGCGACCCTTGCATTCCCTCGTACCTTGTGCTGAAACTTTTACGACCGATCGTACAGAGTGCAACATCCGACAATATTACACACGAGACGAACGTTGCGAGTTGCACCAATCCTGCAGCACAAAGAAATGGAGTCTGCATGCAGAAAACTTTGCTAAGGGCAGCGACACCAGCTCGTCGTACTGATCGACCGATCCGCACATTGTTTCAAAAAGCGGGGCTGCCGGTATTGCGTGGCTCGAGCTCATATTTGTCGCCAGTAGCCCACTGCCGCCTCATTCCTTCATTAATGCCGGGATAAAGACAGTGGTGCTCTATGTCGTAGAGAATGCCACTGTCTCGACGCAATGGGTCTACGAATGAAAACAACTCAGAAACTGGAGTGAGTGTGGTACCCCTGCCCGCTTCGCCCGGAGCATCCACTTTGCCCCAACAAGCTCGTAACATTGTGGAACACACAAAACAACAGCATCAAGCAGTTTCGTCGTGCCAGATGGTTACCAGATTGTTAGTGTTCATGGCAATAATCTATAGGTGGTATTCACTGGCGGCCATAGCTGTGTCCTCTGTTGCAGACCGCCAGCTCACGATGGGCTTCAACAACGCTTTTGAAATGTGCACTTCACACCACTAAGATTGTGAGCCTTCTCTGACAATAAGTGGGGTACTGTCTTGAGCACGTGCTGCGAATGCTGTGCTCAAGAATGCAACCCAGTGAATACCACCTATTAGGAGCCGGTTGGGACGACACTGGTGCCGTTATTTCTCGCGCGCGCATACAACATGACTTCGCAACCATGGTCTGTTACCGGTTTACCACACACGCTCGCACACCTTTTGTGCTGGTGTCACAGAAGAACAAATACACCCTATGCAAAACCAGAGCGGTACACCATCTCAAACCAGCGCATAGGCAGACCCGATTAATTTGCACGTCGAGGCACCGGGGCCGAAACGGCCTCGCGATCAGCGAGCGGAGGGCCCGTTTGGTTTCATCGCCCTAGGGGTCCGACAGCTCCCGACAAGGACCCAAAAACTTATCGAGGAATGCATCGAGCTCATAAGTAATCGAGCCATAGTCCACGAACGGCGGGAGGCAGCGATCCAAGGGGGGGACCGTTCCCCTCGCAAAAGCGCGGGAGGGGACAGAGACAAAGAAAATGTAAACACCCACCTCATTTCGGAGATCCGCCTCGGGCTCCCACGGCACTCCTCACTCACCACTTTCAAGCCTGGCGTACGAAGAAAAAAATAAAGAGATAGAGAACATAAACGAAACGAGGGGATGAGTGCGGGGCCTAAGTGACGTGGGGGTGGGGGCCGATGGGTCCCCAACCTCCTTCCTCGAGATTCCGTCGTGGGGACAACCCCAACACTCACCCGACGAAGCACGGTTTTTGGGAGACGCATCGGGACCCTTGGACACGGCGAACATGCTACTGCGACGGCGGTTGAAAGGTTGCGACGTGCGCCCTGCCAAACATGTTGGCCCCCCGGGGAAACAGGCGCGATGTTCAGAGGGCCGGGTTCACGCCGAGCCCATGCACCGCTTGCCTTCCTGCCAACTTGCCAGCAGCGGACATTCGGCAAGATGGCGGCGCCCAGTTCTGGTAAAGTGAGGCGCGGGGGAACGGTTCATAATTTGATCAACTCCATCTCACGTTCAAAGTTTATTCGAGATCCGAGTATGTTTTATTCCAATTATTTTGTAAATACATGCCATAACTTGTCGCTTTTCAAGTTCTCATTTACTTCCCTTTACTTCCTACTCCCTCTCCCTCCAACCCATCCGTTCAGTAAGTCAAGTCAAGCCGAGTACAAAAATGGCGGCGTCCAGTGGATCGGATGGCGGTCACTACGACGATGAGTTTGGCGACTACGCTAGCAGGAGGAAAAAACCCTGCAGAACGTGTACCGACTTCAAAACATGGGCAAAGAGCAAAGGATCAACACTCACCAAAATACCGGTAAGCCTTACTTTTATTCCTGGCGTTACAAGACCGCTGTCCGATCTTCACGTGCCGCTGAAGCAGTTGCAAATACTCCAAATGTAGCGTTTAATTGCCGTTGTAGGTAAACTTGGCCATTGCAGTACGATTGGTAATTGGTAACGACTAATAATTGAGCGAATGGTGGTTTGTCAACTCAAGGCCCTTGACACACTCTTTGCGATCCTCGCAACAACGCGCCGGATGACATCATGTTTCTGATGTAACGCCAAATTAAATCATGATTTAAATCACGATATAAAAATCACAATCCCCATTGATTTATTTTGCGATGATGATTTCAGTCAGACTTTTCTAGTCAAAACAATCCCGAAACTTATAACTTTAGTTGAAAGCATAGAATCAGTAGCCAAAAACTATTTCGCGTGCTTCTAAAAAACCAAGAAATAAAAAAAAAAGAAAAAAAAAAAGTGAGTGTTGATCGAGTTTGCATTTACTTTGTTCGTCAATTACGCAAAACGTAATATATATAGGAAGTTTCGTTCGGATTCAGGCAACGAGGGGCAGTCATATTTTTCATTTTGCTTCAAATTTTTATATTTCGCAATCCTTGTTATTTTAATGTCCTCACGTGTTTAGTTTCTAAGAAAAAAAAAAAAAAAAAATCTCAAAGAAGTGGGAAGGAACGACAAGGTTTTGACGAGGTGTGGCGTTTTTGAATCACCCTCAATCTCAAAGTATTCAAAAGAGAGCGTCTATATACTTAGTGTGATAGATATGCAGGTAGGTAAGACGACATTATAACTACTATTTATGGTTCGTCGCTCCAATCTTTGTAAAAATCCCCAAACATGCCTCCGCAACCAACTGTGACCTAAATTGCGAATTTTTTTTTTTCTTTTTTTTTTCTTCTGTCGACTATGTTTAGTGTCGCTTCTAAAATAATAACACGTGTAGAACCTTTCATTGGCTTCCAAATTAAGTAGAGTTTGTGTTTTTTATCTTGTACGAGTACTGAGAAATAAATTATGAAACAGGGAGGGATTTCACTTTTCGTTCAATTTCAGCACGCTGTATTAATATTAAAAAAAAAAAAAAATATTAATTTCTTTTTCTCGCGTCACGCTCTCTTTGCACCCTTCTTTTAGCCAGAATACATGCCGCTAGAGGTATTTGCCTTGGTTTTGAGTTTTAAGCCTCTAAATATGCTAAAAAAGAGCAAAGACCGATGGTGGGTCTTTACGATTTTCATGTGTGGCGTTTTTGAACCACTCTCAATCTCAAAATATTCAAAAGAGAGCGTCTATATATTTCTTATTGTGATATATATGCAAGTCGGTAAAACGACATTCTAACTACTATTTATTGTTCGTCGCTCCAATCTTTGTAAAAATCCCCAAACATGCCTTCGCGAACAACTGTGACCTAAACTGCGTTTTTTTTTTTTTTTTTTTGGGGGAGTTTACTATGTTTAGTTTTGTTTTGAAAATAATGCCACGTGTGGAATTTTTCACTGCCTTCCACATTATGTGAAGTTTGTGTCTTAATCTCGTACGAGTACTGAGAAATAAAGTATGAAACAGAGATGTTTCCACTTTTCGTTCGATTTCAGCATGCTGTATAAAAAAAAATACATCTCTATTTATTTTTTTTTTTTATTTTTTTGCGTCGCGTTTTCTTTACACTTTTCTTTTACCCAGAATACATTCCGTTAGAGGTATAAGCACTGGTTTTGAGTATTAAGCCTCTAGATATGCTTAAAAAAGATTCTGTTCTGTGATCAATATAAATTTCGCATTAAAATATAAAATTTTGCATTTAAAAATCTAGGTCTCTAATAGGAAGTGTATTTTACTCTAATGTTGTACAATATTACAATTGAAAATTTTTAACGTAGTATAGATTATGTAGCTCATAGGGTTTTGGCTTGAGGCTTCTCCAATCATGGCACTGGCGGAAATTATCTGAAAGCCCGCTTTTGGCAGTTGCGATTTTAAAGTGTTTAAACTTTTGGAATTGCAAACTTGTTATTATACGCCTAACAACATTAATGTCTTTTGTATGAGTATTTATTCAACGTCCCTTAGATTATTATAATAAAGAATAAAATATACAGCTATAACCCATAAACCCACCATCAGCACTTTTTAGCATATTTAGAGGCGTAAAACTCAAAACTAGTACATATATATGCTAGGGTGTGTATTTTCCGGTTTTAACCGAAAAACACCGATAAACATCCGTCGGTGACAAAAATATAAAATCGGTTAAAACCGAAAAACACCGGTGGTTGGATATTTTCGCCCTGGTTAAAACCGAAAAACACCGGTCGTTGCATGTTTCCGACCTAGCAAAACCCTTTCCCTGTAGAGGTTCGTCAAACGTGTTATCTCGTGGATCCTGCATTCTTCCAGTGTTTATACATGGCTTGCACGTGGCGTCAGTCCGTCCTCCTTTCTGGCGGTCAAAAGCGTCTAGTGAACGCGTTGGAAGCTAAGCTCTCACACGCCTTTCCCCTATTGTGTCTACCATGGCCACCTTTTGTGGAAAAGTTAACGCAGTGGAGGGTAGGCTCTCACGTGCCCTTTTCCCATTGTGTCTGGTCAAGTAATGTCGGTGCAAGCCATGTATTCAGAGGTTGCCGTGGTTCCTGGAAGACACTGCCAACGTCCGTGTCGTACAGGAGCGTGCGTTTTCATAATTGCGGGTTGTGAACCGCAAGGAACGTGCTGCCATGGCGGATGCAAGCCTCTCGAAGTATGCTTGCATCTACTATAATAACCAAGCGTGAAAATAGATGCTTCCTAGAGAAGAAGCGTATGAAATATGTGAATAAAATTGGAACTCTCTGTCTGTGATCCATCGCATTTTTTTCCACCGATAATCACCGATTTTAGCCTAGTCGTGAGACGTTCCACCGAAATGCACCGGTGCTTTGAAAATAAATAAACACCGAAAAACATCCGCCGATTTTTCTCACAAATAAACACCGGAAAGTACACACCCTATATCAGTGGCGTGCTCAGGAATTTCATTTCGGAGGGGGCCGGACCAACGGGGGACAAGATAAGGGGGTAAAGGGAGTAAAGGGGTGAAGGGGGTAAGGAGGGGCAAGATAAAAAGAGAAAAGAAAGTCCAAGAGGAAATTAAAGCATTTTCATTTTTTTAAGAACTATTCATTCTTCTATTAAATAATTAAATTAAAGTCGTCATATTGGTTTTGGGATGATTGATACATAAAAATGGTGCCCCGGATATTCCTCACCAGGAAGGCATTCGCACTTTACTTTTAGAGCGCAGCTCTTAGGCGCCCGTTCCCGGCTTGAGCGGCGTCGCCGTCGCCGTCGGCGTCGGCGAAACCGCGCGGTGCATTATGGGTAAATTTCCCCGCTAAATCTAGCGGAAAAATTTCCCCGCTAAATCTAGCGGGAAAATTTCGTGGCTAAATCTAGCGGAAAATTTTCCCCGCTAAATCTAGCGGAAAAAATTTCCCCGCTAAATCTAGCGGAAAAAATTTCCCCGCTAAATCTAGCGGAAAATTTCCCGCCAAATCTAGCGGAAAATTTTCCCCGCTAAATCTAGCGGAAAAAATTTCCCCGCTAGATTTAGCGGGGAAATTTTTCCACTAGGTTTAGGGGGGGGGTCACGTGACCTGGGGGTCACGTGACCCCCCCCCCCCCCGAGGTCACGTGACCCCCTTCCGAGCTCACGTGACTTCGGGGAGGGGGGGGGGGCACGTCTCCCCCTCCACGTGGACCCCCTCCCCTGAGGTCACGTGACCCCAACAAGGTCACGTGCCCTCGGGGGGGGGGGGGGGGTCATGTGTGACCCTTTCCCCTATGTCACGTGACCCCCGAGAAACCGTGGCCCTCAGTACACTTCCCTCCTCCTCAAGAGCTGCGCTCCAATTCGGCGTTACAGGGAGTGGTAAACGGCTTTCACTTTTTTTTATTTACAAGTCACGTCAACAGAAGGCGCCAGAGTTAGCAGAAAACAAGAATCATTAAAACAAATATTATATAAAGCACGACTCTAATGCACGAAGCCGTCAGTCATCGGGGCTGATAAAGCAATGATGCATCAGTAGATACGCGGAACAGCTTGATGGACAGACGATAAATACTGGAAAGCAGCTCCACCATAAATTACTTCCCATCTTAACCTGATCGAACCAATAAATATCTTACGTGATTCGTTCGTTGGTGTCGATTTTTACGGTTTTCGAAGTCCGTTCACAAAAGAAAGTCAAGGAAGTCACACGACGCAACAAAGGAACGATGGAAAATGGTTTGTGCACTCACATATTGCACTTGGCTCTCGTCCTGAGGCAGCAGGTCACACACTCGCGCCCCTATCTCGCGCAGTTCTCAAACTGCCGATGACAACTTCCGTACTCGAACCTTGAACCGCAAATCCCGCGCCTCTAGGCGCCTATATTCACTTTGTTAAGAGTTTTCCCGCCACCCAAGGAGCCCATCAGATATCGCCATTTTTAGACCAATGGGAGCCACGTGGTGCAAAGCAAACACATACAATACAAAATCCAATTAAGAAAGGACACGTGCATAGACCCCCGAAAACCTTCGCCCTAACTGTCGACCGTCAGCCGGACATCGCTTCCAGGAAAAAGAACCTCGTCGGGGTGCAAGAGCAGTACCGACGCTTCTTCTCAAAATAAAAAAAAAAAGGCTACAAAAAATCGAGGTGCCATAATGATGGTACGCACCCAGAGCGGGGTTCTCGAGGAACAATTAAGACGGGGGACAAGGGGGCCGCTCCGTGACGACGACAAACCAGCCCCAGCAATAAAAGTAGAAGTAAACGAATATATTTTCTTTCCTGAGTAACGATAGCAGTGCAGCCTACCTCACAATATATTTAACAAATGAGATATGCGGCCGATTATAGTACATATATATATACAATGTGTGTGTGTGTGCGTGTGTGTGTAAGTGTGTGAATCCCGCAATGCCGGCTACTCCTCGACGACCGTTATATAAAACTATGTTGGAACAGAA